TGTTGGTAGCTACCGTTTGTCGCAAATAATTACAGATGCCGTAAATAGGTACAGCTGCCATAAATAGGTGCAGTTGTCATAAATAGATACAGCTGCCGCAAATAACATGGTTGCCACAAATAGATACTGCTGCAAATAGTTTTCAATTATTGTCGTTAGCATTATTAGTCATATTAGTCATGTGAAAATTTTCTTGAATTATTTGTAATCTGCAGCAACTAAATTTTTTTATGAATTTAATTAATCAGTCATTCATTTACAGTGAAACTATAAAATTTGCAGCAGCCGTATCTTTTTATGGCAGCCGTATCTGTTTGTAGCAGCTGTATATATTTGCTGCAGTTGTATATATTTATGGTAATTATTTGCGGCAACTGTAAATATTTTATAATGGGTAACTACCAGGGATGACTACCCTATGGTAGTTACCATTGCCGCAGATAACCAATTAGGCAGGTGTCTTTAACTATGATCATCCATATTGTATTGGTTACAAAAAAAAAGGGACATTTTTTGAGTTGTTATTTTACATTCAAGGGTATGTTTTACAAATCTTTGTTTTTCTCAGATTGGCATTGGAACAAGGTACAGTAAATAATCCCACTCTATGTTAAGATATTTAAAAACATCATCAATTCACTTCTTTTTCAAATAAAAAAAAACAAATAATAAATCCTTCAAAAATACTGTTTAAACGACAAATAATCAATAAATATTTACAATATTTACATCCATAATTACATTCAAAAAAATTCTTACTTTCAACTATTTATAAATGATGAGAAATTTGATTGGCAAAATTTATAATACAGATCCTTTCGTCGGATTAAGCAGAAAATCATGGCGAGAGCTTTATTGACTAGCCATATAATTTCCAAATTATAAGATTAAGCAGTACAAAGGATGATGATTTTAATATTAATATTATATATATACAAAATCAATAATTTTTCATAATAATTATTTTATGAATTAATTGAATTAAACATTTACTTATCTTTTTTGTTACTTAATCCTTTCCTTGAATGTGAACACCTACATTTACATTGCAATATTCATAATGATTATTCAATACATTTGATATTGTCATTTGCATAACAAACAATTGTATAACCAAGTAATAAATAAATATCAAAAAATATTATTTTTCCTTCTCGTTATATAGTTCCTTAAAAACCACATATAAATCTGATATTAATCACAGGTGTCAAATTTAATAAAGTTTTCTTAACACAAACATACAGGTTAATGCTTTCACACGCCCTCATAACTATGGAATTTTTTCCACGGGTGAAGGCCACCCATATGTTGGAAGGCTTTTAAAGGTGGGATGAAACCAGTGTTGTGACCCGAAACTCTGAGTTTAGGGAAGACCCGAAACAGAAACTACCTGAAACTAGTCTAGGTTAGTAGTTTATGCTTAGATTTAAATTTAGTTTTAGTTTTCTGCTTAGTGTAAGTTCATTTTCCGAAACGTTTCGGGAAGCCAAAGAGTTTCTGGTTACAACACTGGATGAAACTTCCCTTTATCTCCCCTCAGTCCAGGTTTGGCTGTTACTAAATAAGCATCGGAATGAAATCTGACGGCTTTTTGAAAGAGAAAGAGCATAAATGCAATTGCAATAATAATAAATTCAGAGTTTCTAACCTCATTCTGAATTTCAGATTTCTCCCCGAACCTTGAAACAAGTTGCAAATTCTCATTGCTTCTATGGACCCGGTTGTTTACATGCCTAATATTACAATTCTTCAAAATGCAACAACCTCCAAAGTTGCGACTTCTTGATTGCAGAAGCAACTATCTTTACCCTAGAGATAGAATTGTTTCAGGAAACTTTTCAGCCAACATACTTATCTAGGTAATGCCAGCTCAGGTGTGTGAGGGAATGTTAGGCATGATTTATAAAAGAATGATACAATCTTGATAAATTCCAGACCACGTCCCCCCTCTGAAATTTAATTACATAATTATATCATTGGGGCATACTAGTCAGATTAGCCTTGTGAACATAAGGAATGTGAGAGAATGACTGTAATATTTTATTGAAATAATGTACGTGCTTCAACATTTGCCAATCTCCTATAATCAAACATTACATATCGAATCATTTCATCCAGAAAATTCTGACAACAGAATCAAAACACAAAAAAAACCATTGATATCACGTCTTGGCAAGAGGCCTGTTGCTGTAAATGAATATTTGCAATTACTTTCGATCAAAATCCATTGAGTTGGTGGGATGAAAAGCAGAAACAATTTCCAGTCTTAAGTAAACTGGCACAAAAGTATTTATCTGTATCTGCAACATCTACGCTAAGTGAAAGAGTTTTTTCGGATGCTAATAATTTATTAAAACGTAAAAAGAACACGGATTAAACCTGATTTTTTAAAAAAATATGTTCTTAAAAGAAATAAATCACAACTTGAAACAATTCATCCTCCAAATCAAATAAAAATTAAATAAATAAATATTTTATTATTTTAAATCCCAACAAATAAATGTTTTTGGTGTTTATTAATATCATATTATTAATATTGTTATTATCCAATAATATTTGCTGTTTTGACGAATTAACCCGTTACCAATTAGTGTTGGTTTCCAAAACTAGAGAGTTTCGCAACCATGCGAAAGTCAAAAGATTTTGCCATAAGTCGAAACTAGTTTTGATTTTTGACTATTGACTTTTGATTTAGTTTTGACATATAACTTTTAATTTTAATTATGACTGTCTCTTCAAAATAGTTTTGACGACCAACACTATTACCAATCGGATGGAAAAAATCCTAATAATAATAATAACGACCCGTTAACAATCCGGGTCGTGACACAAACTTTGATTGTTAAAACTTGCAGAGGCTTTTTAACAAGGGCCAAAATTTACTTTTTGTATAATAGCTTCAGCCTTTCATCCATTAAAATTCCATCTCATCAATTACTTTTTTTCTCTCTTCTTCACTGAAGATAAATTATAAGTTCTTTTTTGGTAAAAAAGGATTGACATTTTTGCTTGGTTCATTATCAGAGGTTTATTTTGGCATAAGTACATTTCACCCGTCATAATAAACTCATATCTTTTCCTAATACACTCGCATCTTACAAGGCCCAATCGCAGATAATTATATTGCGCTGGTTGCATAGATTGTATTAGTTGTTGTGAATAATTATTTTGTACGGCCAAATAATTCTTAACCGCTAATTCTAATTTGCCCCTAATTTAATATTGATATTTTGAGCCACTGTTGTCAGTTGTAATATATGAAAGATAGATATCTGTTTATAGGGTCGACAGAAGTTCAAATTTGCCTTTTTAGAATCCTCTTGCAAGAGGTAAATTGGCTTTCAATGTATTAGATGTCAATACTAGTGTCACTTAAAATCTGATTGGTCGTTGCAAGAACGTAATCACGTCAACCAATTTTGTCTATATGAATGAGATAATAGTTTTTATGCGATCTAAGCAACATCTCTTTCCTTGTTTTTATTTCTCATCCAATCGCATATCTCTCTCATTTGAGATTGATATAAAGATTTAACCCTACTATTTGAGCCACAGGGAATAAGATCAATTAAAAATCTACATATCCTTAACATTGAAGAAGGGAAATGGTGTTAATCCTAATCTGTCCTAAACTCTCCTGTTCTTTTCTAAATTTTTAGACCAAAGTTAATGTTTTCACAAAAAAAAATCATCAGCTTAAAAAACCATAATAAAATCGGCTTATAGCAGGGTTGGCAAATTGACTGGTCCATTGCAATTAATAAAATACTAAATATGGTCAAAGTGTTACACTAATGGACCCAATGGACCACCAATAGACCATCAATGGACTGCACATTTGCCAACCCTGGTTAAAGTTATCTCTGAATCGATTGGGTCTTTTATGATCAGCAATAATAATCCCCTATTATCTGGGATAATTGATGTTATGAATTTACATCCTGATCTAATTGAACGACTACAATTTTTCAACTTATGGGATGAAGTAAATCAAGGTTTTGACATTATATCTCTGCCAGACGATCTATTAGAATTTGTAAACTTATATTTAGAAAAAAAAGGATGTTATGGAATCCCTATGAATTTCTTTGATAATGATGATTTATTTAACTTCCTTGAGGCAGCACAAAATTTATTATCTTGCTTTATGAACTTAAAAAAAAAAAATGTATTGTGAGATAGTAAAATAAGGACCGATAGAGAGGTCCCACCAAATTACTGCGGAAGTCACGTAAAAATTACATCATTTCTATTTTTATTTTTAATGTTATATTTTGTGAAAATACTGCGCCACACATTGCGCACAATTACTCATATTCATATTTCTATAATTATATTTCAAGAATTTGTTCAGCTGATCTAAATATTTACTTTAAATTATTAATTATTATTTGTAATGCTCAGTTGACCCAAATATTTATTTTATTAATAAGCATAGTTTATTGGACAAACTAGAGTAAAAGTCATGTTATTTGTAATGCCTCAAGAGGTATAAAAGGACTTGGTTTTAGACCAAGTCAGAATCATCATGTTCATAATAATCTTTTGATTATTGATCTAATAATTAATCTTTTCTAACACATTGTAATAATATTATTATTATCGCTAATAAAACACATAACATATTTTACCCTAAATAATAATCTCTAATTAATAAATAAACCACCAAGGGGAAACCTTTGCCGTACTTAGTAAATAACCAACATTCTAATTATTGAGATACATCTCAAGGGGACACCTTTGGGATATAATTGCACATATAGAACCTAGGGACCCTTTTATCTAAAGGGATAAAAGTTATTTTATTAACTTTTGACCGTAAGTGAGCTGGTAGGCTGTGTGTCACATTTATAAATAAAGGAAACCTTGACTGTAAGTCAGTGGGTAGGCTGTGTGTCAAACCATAGAATCAACCATAAGCCAGCGGGTAGGCTGTGTGTTGAGCTACAAATAACCTATTAAATAGGAAACTCGGATTGCACGCTCGCAGTATAAAACTCATGAAAATATATTGGAAGCAACTTGGTCACATGATGTGGTTGCACCCATTAAAAATTTTGTATTTTGGGATTTATATAGATTATCCTACCAATGGTGAGTTGTTCATTATAAATTATAATGATTTTAAAAAAATTGCTATTTTAAAAAAAAATTTTTTATAGGGATTACAACATAAGTATGGCCACAAAGGAGCAAAACAGATCTTTATCCAGACCAAGTAGAAAACCCGATATACATGGCTATATAAATGGAAGAACATTTATTTATGGATTTTTTTTTCAGAAATATTGTATGGTCCTAGGGAAAAAGGTCCTGTCACTGTTGATCATATCTGCAGCAATCATCTAAAATTATTAAAATTTTCAAAAGATTCTTTTGATCAGGGTTGGTGAATGTGTGGTCCATTGGTGGTCCATTGATGGTCCATTAGTGTAACATTTTAACTATATTTAGTATTTTATTAATGGCAATGGACCAGCTCAAAGTCCATCAGTTCTCAATGGACCAGTCAATTTGCCAACCCTGCTTTTGATAAAATAATAAATCATGGGAATTTGGAAAATGAGGAACTTTTAAACTGGAAAAAAATACCAACAATTCTCTTACAATATATATAGCAAGTATAATATTATTTACTTCGACCATTTTTTAATTCTTAACCTTTTTTAATATTAATATATTTTTTTAGACTTCATGTTAGAAATATTAATAGTAGATAGAAAATACTTTCCATTACATCGTGTTAGGAGATTAAAGTGTTTGGAAATCCCAATCAATGAAGACAGTGACGAATTGTTTCGTAAGAAAATGGTAATGTTAATAATTCATTTATACAACGTAAATAAAATATTAAAAGAAACAAACGAAACAATTATACAAGTTGAAGAAAGTGAAATCCATTCACACAAAGTTTCTAAACATGGGGTTTCTAAACATTTAATAATTCCAACTTACAATAGTGATTAAATTAAACGAAAAATCACATAAATAATGTTTTTAAATAATTTTCCAATAATCACTTTTATTGCTTTTTCATTATCTTGTATTTTAATGATTTGATTCATCAAAAATTAAACATAAAAATAGATTCTAAGAATAAATGTTGCTTAATTCATCTTGTAGTGTTTTAGATATTTTTTATTTGACCAAAAATTAGGTCATTTGTCAATCTTCTAGAGTTTGAGATCATATTGGAGTCGACGAGTAAACACAAGGCAAAAAAAATACCAATTTCATATTTAACCATTTGACTGTATTTTCACCTCCAAAATTTTGAAATCAATTCTCACTTATTCTTTATAAATTATTTTTTTATTAGTGTACTTCTTAATTTAGGAGGATTAACATTGATCGAATCGAAATTGTTTGAATCAATTTGTTCATCAGTTTCTATTGGTTAGCTTTATTATCTATACGAAAATAAATTTACATAATGCGGGAATTAATGTGTTAAACACGTTCTTATATATATATATATCTTTATTAATATATATATGATATAAATTTTTTAAAAATATAATAATAAACATCACATAGCCAATTGATCAGAAATTATAATAACAAGTAAATTAATGAAAATAATATCTTTATTATTTTTTTTATTGACATTATTATTACCTAATAAAGTTTATTGGTTGTTTTTTTTCCTTTAAAGTAATAATGTTGCTCACACCATAAATGAATAAATGAATAAATAAATAAATAAATATGTTACTTGTATTATCTTCATCTTCAGTATCAATTACATTTACATCATTATTATTATCATCAATGGTGTCATCTTCAACATCGTTATAAGTTTCATAATCATCGTCATCAATGATACTTTCATTTTAACATTATAAATTTCATCAATATCATCTTCATTTTCATTATTATCTAATACTAATAGTATATCCCTTAAACGGTTTTTCGGCTATTGATAGCCGAAATTTTTTTTCTGTTATAAAAAACTTTTTCACTTCCTAATACGAAAATAATCTTTGCAATTCAGCTGATTGATCTGTGAATAAAAATTCGGTTGTTATCCTTGTGGTTTTCGTAAAATCTTCCTTAAAAGTTGGTCGATTGACTACTTTTACTTTGCAGATCGTTAAATTGGCCAATAAGAATGCAAGATCGTGATCAAAAAATTATTTTGTGTTACTACTAAAGAATACTTTGATCGTTCGTTTAAGGGATATAATTAATATTATTCAAAGTAATTATTATATCCATGACGAATATTTAATTCTATCTTACTTTTATTGTTGTTTTTATTTTTACCAATATAAAAAATAATCTCCTTAATTTGCATTAAAAATTTTTAAATAAAGATGTTAGCACAACCATTTTTTCCTTCATTGAATGTGCACCAAGTGTGAAAATCAAAATTTAATTAGATATTTTACTTTGATGTTGTATGCATTTCTTAACCAACTCCTTTACTGGTCAATTGTTGAGACTAACATTTGCATCAGGATTTCATGTAATGAACTAAATGCAAATATTTTTTTAATAAATTTTCGTAAACAAATCTAGTCAGAATATGTAATTTATATACCTTATTAACAATTTTACGATTATCCGTTTCATAACTGCACTACAAACGAACTTCTTTTTTTAAAAAAAGATTTACTAGAACTCTTTTGCAGATTATTAATCAGATTTTTATTTGACTTTTCACTCCACTATAAAACTTATCAAAGGTAACTATAATATCAATCAATTATTGAACAAAAATATTTGGAGGTTGAAGAACTGTAAACAATTATGTGATAAGAAAAAAAACTGAACAGTATTCAGTTTTTTTCATTTAATAAAATGGTAACTGAAATTCACGAATTACTTGGAAAAGGAATCGCTGCCTTCACTATAAAAAGCTTCTAAGGAAAAGACGATAGAAGCGATTCAGGAATGGCTAATAAGACAAAGAAAAAAAAGACATGAGTAAAGACAATGAAGAAGGAGAAATTAATGATATTAATAATCATAGCAATAATAACAACAATAATGAAAGTGTAGTGTACATAGGCAACCCGTTAAACCAAAGGCAATTGTACAGGAACTTTTCTTCGGATTAACAGAGTTTTTTATAATCCAAAGTTATTATTAGAGTCATAAATTAATTCGGATAAACGAGGTAATAAATCTAAAAATTTAGGATTTAGAATTTCCTTTATCCATTTTCTGGCAATGAATTGATTTGGATTCAATGATAAAAAATAATCGCTCTTTTTTAGAATTTCAGAAACAGTAGATTTGCTGACATTATATTTAGATGCAAGCTGGTTATTTTTTTATGTTTGGTCTTTATTTTTTTCGATGCATATTTATATTTTTTTGTGAGATTGTTATAGGCGTATGTTTTCTTTTTGATACCCCAACTTCTTTTCAGTAGATTTTTTTCCTCTTGTTTGCACTAGAGGAAAATTTTTGCTGAATCCCATCTACAAAAATTCTTCATGACTATTAAATTTCTATAAAATAGTTTTTC